TTTACTCACAATACTTAGCTAAAAAGATTAGGGCCTGGCCGATCCTGTGACTAACAGGCGGCTACCCTTCTTTTACTTAGCACCTACGTTCACCAAGAACTTATCAAGGCCACCGGCCGAATGATCAGACCAGGCGCCAAGCCACCTGATCAAATCTACAAAACTAATTCGACCTGTCCCAACATCATAGCAGGCGTCCGACGGCATCCCTCCGGATGAAATTCGTCGCAGAGAGCAGCTCCCTTTTGGGTGGAACATTGTTCTATAAACTAATTACACGGCACCTATACGACTGTCCCCAAGGGCAACCACGTAGCCGTTTTTGAGACAAGGATAACTCTATCACTAACCAAACCAGTGGTAGCAGTTGACATCTGAGTCAGATGACCGCCTGTATTACTTGGGATAAATGCAGGGGGTACCTATTGAGTTAATAGCCAACAAACATTGGCGAATCAAGGGGTCTAGCCGGCCTACGCCGCCTGGTACCTCTACTTCTCAAACAAAAGTGATGGCGACTGAGTAACTCCAAAGTTAACTCATAGTCACTCCTTCAAATTTGGTATGGAATCTAAAAAGTTTGAGTCGTCCGCCTGTTTTAAACAAACAAGGGCACTCGAACCCCTATTCCTACTGGATAACCTATTGAGTTAATAGCCAACAAACATTGGTGAATCAAGGGGTCTAGCCGGCCTACGCCGCCTGATATCTCTACTACTCAATCAAGATTGTGACAAAGACTAAGTAACTCCTATGTTAACTTAATAGTCACTCAAACTTAGTATGGAGCCTAATAGGTATGAGTCGTCCACTTGTTTTTAATAAACAAAGGCTCTCAACCAATACTCTTGCTAGGTTAACAAATAACGAGTTAAAAGCCAACATTGGCGATAAAGGGAAACAACCGGTACCCGCCGCTTGTTTTCCTACTTAATTCCCTGGCTACTAGGTAATTCTATTTACTTGGTCAAATTGAATAAAGAGTTCGAACACCAATTGATTAAATGGCCGACTGATCATCTATCCTGGACACAGACAACCAGTCGTCCAGGGGCATAGGCGGCATACTTACTATTTGTACCTGTCTTAACGTTCGGCCATACACAACAGTCGGTCTAGTGAGCAAATTTCAAATACTTAGACAAATTTGAACCAAAACAAAAAATTTGATTAAAAATGAGCCGGCCATAAAAGACCAGCAGAATACTCAAAACCCCGGCCCCCTGGCCGGGTAATTACAAAGCAAACGGCACGCAGGCCGTGAAAAGAAAAAATACTTAAAGCTTAAGAAGGGGGCAGTTCAGTATCAGCAGCAGCCGCCTGGTCAGCACTCTTCTTGCTGGACTCGGCCTTAGCTGCACCATCTTTTGATGCCTTACCCCCAAGTGGCACAAGCGCCACAACCGGCTCTTCCTCCTCCAACGCACCGTCCAACGCCTCTTCTTCAGCAGCCGCCAGGATCTGTTGATTATATATTTCCGAACACTGGCGGTACGTTCTTTCCCATGAGGCAAAGTCGGCACTGGGGAACAGTCGTTCCCAGGTCATGCGTTGGATTTGAGCGGAGTCTTCCACCATCTCCCGGACGAGCTCTTGTTTCTCTTGCTCGGCCTTATCCGAGAGCTCTTGGGTAAGACTCTTCTCCTGGTTCACCAGGCGTTCTTTTACGTTAGCCAAAGATTTCTCCATGGCTTCGTAAGAGTGCATTTTTTGGCGAAGGGGTTTCAGCTCGGCTTTAAGGTTGGTGACGGTCCCCTCCAGCTCGTCAACCTTCTTTTGGGCCGCCTCTAGCTGAGCCCGAACAGCGGCGGTCGCCTGCGCCTGATAATAAAGAAGATCAATGGTCAGTACTTCATTTTGGGCAATTTGAAACATTGCCTTATCACAGCTGGAGGCGGCCATAGCCTTTGCGGCCTTTACCTCTTTGTTTTTCCGATCAATCGGCTTGCGAAGGCTGTTGACTCGGAGCAGGGCCTAAGTACAAAGAAAAACAGGCGTCAGTTTCCAATCAAAAGAGTTAACAGGCGTCCTGGAACTCAAAAGCTCAAAAAGGTGCTAAGTATACCTCAGCTAGGACCCCTGAAATTCCATCGAGGTCAAGGGTGCCGGCACCCTTGACCGCCTCCCTGTCAGATGGAGGAACTACTTTAACCATAGACTTGGCTACCTCAACCAAGTCTAGTCCCTGGGGGCCGGCTGCATTAAGCAAAAAAAAAAAAAAAAAAAAAAAAAAAAAACAAGTTAGACCTAATCAAGAAGGAAGCAAGGGTGAGTTTTTACAAGTGAGTGCCCATACATCTAGGCGGCCCCGCCTGGGTTTTTGAAGAAGTGGCCGGCTGCTTCTCAGCCGCCACTGTTTTCCTGGAAGACCCAGGAGAGCTTGCAACAGTCGTCCTCCGGGCCTTGGGATCCGGCTGTTGCGAGGAAGAAGCCCTTGGAGTGCCAGACTGAAAACAAAAAGAGTTAGTATATGCATAAGACAACTAAAAGAGGAAGAGTTTTCAAAGCTTACCAAGGGTGCCTCCTTGTTAGGGGAGTCGGCATACGTCTGTTTCATGAGCGAGGCCCGCAATATGGCTGCTGCAGTCTTGGATGCTGTTATTTTACTCATGGCGTCAGCTGCAAGAAATAAACAGCAAAGTTAGTAAAAATCCCAAGTAAACAAGGCGTGAAAAAACAGAGTATTCGTCAGGCCGGCTACCTCTAGAGCACCGACTGCTGAGGCCACAGGCGGCCAAGAAGTACTCGTCATAGAGCCACTTGAAGCTCGGGACGCAGTTTAGGGGTACTTGCTCTCGTACCCCTGAAGTAGAGTTCACCCTAGTCTCTACTTTGAAGAGTCCTTTGTCTAGGATCTCTTTTTTAGCCTTTGGGGGAACAGGCGGCATGCTGCGGCCGCCTGCGAGAAGAGGCGGATCCCTATTCCACTTGTTAAAGCGTTTGTTCAGCTCCGTGTCTGAACCCTCGATAATAAGGAAGGTGTTCCGCCAATCTTTCCATTTGTTCGCCTTACCTTTTGTCATAAGGTAACCCCTATGGCTTGTTAGTTGGTACCAGCCGGTACCTCCCGACTTAGGGGTCCGGCTGAGATAGTTCATATGGGCGAAAGCCTCAAAGCTTGGCTCCACCCCGTACATTTCGCACCCGGCCACATAGCCGAGTACGTTTACCCAAGAGTTGGGGGCTAGCTGCCATAACCCCAGATCATACCCATCTAAAATCCGCTGAACAGCCGGATGTAATGGGAAGCGCAGTCCAGCTTTGATGGCTGCCACATAACAGCCAAAGCAGCCGTCACCATAGCTGGTACCAGCCGGCCAGACGACAGTATCTTCTGGATCCGGCACAAACAGTAAAAATTCCGGGCCCATTTTGTGGTTAGCAATAAAGCTCGCCACGTTGTCTTGCATAGTTGCGATCCGGCCCCGGGGTACCCTGCAGTAGTAAGGGGCGTTTTCCTCTCTGTAAGAGGCGGACGACTCTGCCCAATTATCCCCCTTCTCAACTGCATGAGAACGTCTCGCCTCTTGTAGGCGGCTATGTTTTTCTTCTGAGCCAGGAGAACTGTGGCCAGAAGAGCTGGATTCGGACTCGTCCCCTGACGAGTCCGAAGAGGACGACTCCTCCCCTTTCCTAGAGGGGCCCGCCTCCTCTCCCTTAGAAGGAGCAGAAGGGAAATTAGACATGTCCACGGTAAGATGGGAAGGAAACACCTTGGTCCCTCTCTCAGAACTGTCAGCTTGACAGTCGCCTCGTTCTACATCTGGCGCCTGGTCAGATGTTTCACTAAGGAGCACCCTTTGGGAGGAGCCGTCTGAGTTTGATATCATAGCAGTCTTTTTTGTTCTGGCCATCACGTTCTGCATAGACACAGATACAGTCGGACTTTGTATAAAGGGCAAAGATGGGTCCAGAAAAGGGCAGGCGGCACTCCTAGTCCTAGATTCAGCCGTCCCCGGTGACCGGCTGATCACTAACTTAGGGCGTGTCGTGTGCTTCCATGGTGCCATTTCAAAAAATAAAAAGAAAATTAAGAGTAAGAGAACTGAGTTACCTGAACGAGTGACGGTTGATGAAGTCCTGAAAGTTCGGGTCAGTCGGCTTGTCAGAACAGGCGGTAGGCAGAAAAAGTCCGAAATGTCAGAGCAAGTTCAGGGGTCCGAATGTTCTCGCAAAAGTTCTCAAATGTGAAAATGACCGAAGTCAGCACTTCCTTTTATAGGCAAAGTGAGAAGGCGAAGGGTCGCTTCCAAATTCAAAATTTGGGCGGGGAAATCTCTCGGCCGTCTGCAAGGTGACACCTGTAACAGGCCGTCGCCTATCACCGTGCGACACCTGTCACAGGCGACACGTGACCAGTCGCGTGCCACCTGTGAGGGGCAAATGATTAGGGGATTTTTATCCACCAATCACCGACTGACAAGTGGACCAACCAGGTTCCGCCACGTGTTCTTCACGAAGGCCAACAGGAACCTGCCACGTGTCAATCACATATACGTCCTCCACGGACCACTTAAGACACGCCACGTGTCCGCCCATGCCAAATGGGAAAACCGGCCATCAAGGCCCAGTCCAGTCTAGAGGCCCGGTCAGCCCTAGGTTTACCTTAAACCTAGAGAGTTGCACGCTTCCCAAGGCTATAAATACTCGATTAATCCTCATTAATCAGGGGACCGAATAATTAAGAGATCAAGCAGAGAAGAACAGAGTTATTAACAACCGGCTAATCTCGCTAACAACGCAGATTACCAACACTAAGCACTCTCACCTAGAGAGATCCCATTACTTTAATTTCTGTATTGATTACTCCTTAATCGGGTACTAACTTGACCGTTGGAGGCGGAGCTCTCAGGAGTCTCCGTTATTTTGCAGGTACAGGCGTCCGGTTCCAGTCTCGGAATTGTAACTCTCCCGCAGGACATCAGAAAACCCCGAAACACATACCATGATCACACATCATTTCATCTCCCTTAATCAATTTATGTTTTCTTGAAATGCAGAATGTTAAAAACAAGAACATAAGAGCAATACTCGAAGACGAGGAAAATCTAAGCGAGGAGAAAATCGAAGGAGTAATAAAATTGTTTTTAGAGCAAGTAAAAGAAGGGAGATGGGAAAACGAAGGATGGCCGAAAGAATGGACTGATTATGCAGTGTCGAAGCTAGCATTAAACGCGTACTCAAAGATTTTAGCAAGAAGATTAAGAGATTCAAATATTAGTGTAAATTGTTTTTGCCCTGGTTTTACTCGAACTGGTATGACTGGTGGTAAAGGCAGTCGTACTGCTGATATTGCTGCTAATATTGGAGCTCAACTTGCTCTTCTTCCTCCTCAATCTCTTCAAACTGGCAAATTTAGTATGGGCCAAAGTTTCTTCTTACATTCAAGGTTTTGAAACAGATTTAATTTGTTATGACAATGTCCAATTGTTTAATGTTACGATTGTTAATTAGCAAGTGTGCGCAACCTTATTCCTTGTTATATTTATTTCGAGCTAGATGTAGATTTTTTTTATAAATAATGTGTTATGTGTAATGTTGTATATTCTTTTAATGTATGTTCTTTTTTGTTTTGATTGACTATTATTTAGAATGAGCATTATTCACTTGCAGCTTGCTCTCAGTTGAAAACATAATTTGAATTGACAATAATCGCAACAATATAAATTTTATACCATCTATATATTAACTTTGATTAAATCACAATAGTTTTGACTTTTGCATTACTTTATTTTTTTTAAAAAAATGCACTACCTATATTTGACTAAATTTAGAAGTGTTTCTTCTAAATAAAAACAAATGAAGTATCTCATGAAATAGTAATCTTCCCATCATATTTGGGGAGACAAGTAAACATTTTATTTGTTTTATTATGAACTACAAATGATTTTGATACAAATGAGATATTGGCCTAGTGGTTATAGACTTATGGTTGACAGGTTGAGGGCTTATATAAGTAAAATATTTAAATTTTCAAATTGCCAATAATAATTCCGGCCCAACTTTGCTCCGTTATTTGTATATTGGTATTTGGTAGTACTAGTCCAAAGACGGTATTGTGTAACAAGTGAAGAGATAGTTTCAAAATCAATATTGTGCTATATTTTTCTTTATGGAGAAGCAAAAAGATTGAAGATGCTAAGCTTGCGAGCAATTTGTTGTCTATTCCCTCTCTTTCATATTTGCCGCCTAGATAACCTCCCTCAGCGACGGCGCCGGCGCCGCCCCGACCACCTCCCCCTTCCCCTTAAACCACCATCCCTCCACCCTAAAACCCCACGAAACAACCTTAAAAATTACTAAACTCTAGGTAAATTTAAATTTCAAACCCAAATTAATTAATCAAAAACAAAGAACACCCTTTAACTGAAATTGACTACTGGAGTAAAATCAGCAGAATTCAGCACAATACCCACAAAAATTAAACCAAAAAGAAAGCAACCCAACTCAAAAAATTTAGCATAAAAGCAAAGCAAGCAGCAAAGTTCATAGCACAAATTCAATAAAGTTTAAATTCTAGACGTTAGTTTCGTGGGTGGGGGGTAGGGGCGGCGCCGACCGTGGGTAGCTGGGTCCGGCTCCGGAAAGGGGAGGGGAAGGGGGTGGCACCGGCCGGAGGGGAGGGCCTGGGGCGGTGCTAGGGGGGATGTGGTGGTTTTTTTATTTTTAATTAATTAGTCAATAATAATACTACCATTAAGGCATTAATATTAATTGATTTATTAAAAAAAAAATTACCTGTTTAACAGGCGACCGGTCACCTGAGACTGTTTTGGGCGGATGAAGTATGAAGTTGAGATTATTAAAAAATAATCGAAAGTTGGGATTATTTTGAGCGAACGGACAAAGTCGGGATTATTCATAGCAATTTTTCCTATTTGTAATTAGTATTGTTCTTGTGGTTCATTCACACCCAAAAATTAATCACAAACTATTGGGTGCGGCAGTTCGCACCCGATAGTTTGTGCGACAGCCTTTTCCCCTTCAAACACAGCTACCCATTCATTTTAATTCTTAAAGAAAATTGGGATTTTAGGGCTCACAATTCATAGAACAACATCATTATACTTAAATCAGCCAATCAAATTGAAGAAATTGATGCCTTTTCTGATTGAATCGAAAACCTCTCTAAACAAAGATGACGATGACGATGTCTTTGCGGTGCAGTGGTTGGTGATACGGTGCGATTTGCGACTGGTGATGCGGTGGTTGGTGGGTTCGGCTGGTGATGCGGTGGTTGGTGATTTGCGGCTGGGATGCGGTTGTTGGTGGGTTCGGCTGGGATGCGATGATTTGCGGCGTATGTTCTTGTTCAATGTCACGATTTGCCTCAAGGAGGGAGAAAGAGATAGCGGCCCCAATTTCCCTTTAATTTGGTTAAAGGTGGGAAACGTGCCGTGCCGGGGCCGCCGAGGGTCATGCCTGGCGGGCCACGGTCTCCGGCGTGCCGTGCCGTGCCACCCAAAATCGCAGGCTAGCCCACGGCATGGCCCACGTGCCGAGCGGGCTCGTGCCGGGCTGCCTGCCATGTTGCCACCGTGCTGCTGAGAAGAATGCTTTTTTTTTTTTAATGTTTATACTTTATACTTTATAGTTTATAGTTTATACTATTATTTTTCTAAAATAAATTAAGTTTAATATTTATATTTAGTTTATACTATTACTTTATAGTTTAATGTTTATAATTTATTATATTTATTTTTGTATTATTAATTATTATAATTTGTTTTTTGTTATATTAATTTACAAATAATAACTTCACGGGAAAAAAGGCAAATTAGACTTTGGATGTGAATAATGCATACTTCATATTATTATTACTTGAATAAATTGTACAATTATAATAATAATGATAAAAATCGTACAAAGATATTAAACAATAATTGGACAATGATAAAAATCGTACAATGATAATATTGATAATGATAAAAATCGTACAATATACAAAAATTGTCCATTCTTCATCTATTCTTCTTCATCTTCTTCTTCTTCGTCTTCCCGTTCAAGGTCATCGGCTAGTTGCATAGATTGGGAACTAGCTAAACCCGAACGGTCGGAAGCGGAGCTTCCTTCATCGTTGTCGTTGTCGTCGTAAGTACAGTCTTGTGAGCGATTTCCAGCATCCAACCAATCTTTGAAACACACGCACATTTCAAGTGTTTCGGGTTTCAGACTTGTTCATCTATCGTCTAAACCCCTCCTGATGCGCTGAAAGCTCGTTCGAAGGCAACGAAGGAGACTTGGATACCAAGAATTGTTAGGTTTTACAGTGATTTCAAACTAGAAAACACTTAAAAATTGTGTGGGAACAAAACCTAAGAAATATGACTACAAAACAATAAAGTTATGTAATTCAACAAATACTTCAAAAGTATTACAATCAAGTATTAATATATCTAAGAATTTACAGAAAATTTCTAAAGATAACACTAATGTGAAGATAATCTAACTTGCCTTAACTCCAAGCCGAAACAACCATGCATGAACATGAGAATTGCGATGTCCCTTGAGACTACGACCTTGATACACTGTCGAAGGCGTATGAATACTCTCCTAAAGAGATTAATTTCCCCCACACGGTGCTTGGGTTATTCCGGAAATTCTCTTTGAGATACAATTGACAGCCCTTTCGTTCTTAGCACAAAGAATCGAAATAAAGATGAATAAATTCACAAAGAAGGCTAAAAATCAAGAGTATTTCTCACAAAAGTTTGCAAGAAGTTTGAGAGAAATTATGGAGAATTCTTGGGGTGAGTTAGAGAGAATAATATTCTGTATATCTTTTGTTCGAAAAACAAGTCTTATAATCATAGACTCAATCGACGCAAAAACCGCTAAAACAGAAAGAAGCGCGGGCGCGCCATCACAGCAGCGCAGGCGCGCCACCATGAGGCGCGGGTGCTCCACCAAGCGGCGCGGGCGCGCCACCTCTGATCTTCCCAAACTTCTGATTTTCCAAAAACCTGGCGCGATTTTGTCGCGACTTAGACGCAGGCCGCGCCAAATAGTGGCGCGGGCGCGCCACCAAGAGGAGCGGGTGCTCCTTCAAAGATTTGCCAGATTTCCAGAAACTCAACGTGGTTTTGGCGCAGTTACATCGAGTGTCGCGCCTAGCTAGCGCGAGCGCGATAAATCAGTAGAGCGGGCGCTCCACTCCGACACTCTAAATTATCAACAATCCTCCCCCATTTAGAGTGTCTTTAAACATTCTCCAATTCTATCAATTTAGCCACATCTCATGCATCAATGTTAATATCCCTTCGGATTGAATTAACACCTAGTACAACACACTTAACGATGATCATATCCCATGATTTCCATATGGATTGAATCACACGGATATATCCAACTATTCGAAGGTGAAGTACACACAAGACAAATCGAATAAATCATCACTTGACACCTTTATACAGCCATGTGTCCGTATCTATCATAAGTTCATCAAAGTCTATATGTCCATCTAGACTTCTTGAAGCGGCTAAACTCCGAACTCATATAGGTAGGTTCTCATATACGTAAACGTGCCCTTGTGACAAGACACTTTCATTTAGAGCTTCTCAACTCTAAATCTTTGAGAACTTTAAATAGACGCTACCTAACACATCACAAGTAACATAGCAATATGGGTCATCATACATTGCTATCAAACAACAAAAATGCAATTCAACCACATTGAATCTAAGACTTGATGTTTCTTCAAGCGTTAGATTGGGTTTCACAAATTCGTGTTTTTGGACATAAATCCATTCCATTCATGGCAAATATGATGGAATGCTTTGGCATAGCCTTTGTAAAGCAATCCACCAAATTTAACTTTGTTGGAATATAGTCAAGACTTATGACCCCATCATTGATAAGCTCTTTCACTAGGCTATGCCTAAGTGAAATATGTCGAGACTTACCATTGTACACTTGACTATAAGCCTTTATCAACGCTGAATTGGAATCACAATGAATTGCCACCGGCGGCATTGGCTTTGGCAATAAAGGCAACTCTATCATGAGATTCCTCAACCACTCAGCTTCCTTACTAGCTGAAGCAAGAGCTATACACTCTGCTGCCATAGTGGACTCCGCAATGCAAGTTTGTTTCTTGGAAGACCATGAAATGGCACCTCCCCCAAACATGAATACCCAACCACTTACAGAAGAGTCATGCTCTTTGTAAGTGATCCAACTTGCATCAGAATATCCTTCTAAAACTGAAGGAAATCCACTATAAGTTAGACCATAGTCTAACGTACCCTTAAGGTATCTCAAGACCCTCCGAACTACAAACCAATGTTGTGCACCCGGGTTACTAGTAAATCTACTTAGTTTTCCCACAGCCAATGCAATATCTGGTCTTGTACTAGTCATGGCATACATCAAGGATCCAATTATCCTTGAATATTCCAATTGGGAAACCGTTTTCCCCGAATTCTTAACCAATTTAACATTAGGTTCCATGGGGGTGTTCACGGGACACTTATCAAACATATTAAACCGTTTGATAATCTTCTCAATATAATGAGATTGACTTAAGATAAGTCTTCCATTGTCCCTAACAATCTTGATGCCCAAAATGACATCCGCCTCCCCTAAATCCTTCATCTGAAAAGATGAGGATAAGAATTCCTTGGTCAATTTTACTTGTTGTAAACTTGTACCAAAGATAAGCATATCATCAACATATAGACAAATGATGACACCATGACCTTTGTCATCAAATTTGCTATAAATACACTTATCATAGCTTGATTCACTTTGAATCCAAAGGACAAAATCGTGTCATCAAATTTTCGATGTCACTGCTTTGGTGCTTGCTTAAGTCCATACAATGACTTAACCAATTTACACACCTTATCTTCCTGTCCTTCCAAAACAAACCCTTCAGGTTGTTTCATGTACACTTCTTCCTCTAGATCTCCATAAAGGAATGTCGTTTTGACATCCATTTGATGAATCACTAGATTATATACCGAAGCCATTGCAATCAATAACCTTATGGAGGTAATTCTTGCAAGCGCTGCATAGGTATCGAAATAATCAACACCATGCTTTTGCCTAAAGCCTTGGATAACCAATCTGGCTTTAAATTTCACTATGGAGCCATCCGGTCTCCTTTTCCTAGTGAAAATCCACTTGCAACTAAGAGGTTTGCAACCGGGAGGTAAATCCTCTATGACCTAAGTATTATTTCCCATGATGGAATCCATCTCATCATTTATAGCTTTTTTCCAACATGCACTATCTTGCCTAGATATTGCCTCACTATATGTCTTTGGGTCATTATCCACATTGAAA